TTTTTTTTCATGAAAATGTATATATTTGAATAAATGAACGATTTCTTTGAAATATATGTATAAGAGGTACAATTTTTTATTATATTTATATTCACATTTACCAATTATATGCAAAAAAACTTATATAAAATAACCAAAAATCCAGAAATCGACGAAAAATAAGCACTTTTATACAAAAATTAGGGTTTTCTCGTTGAGTTATGACTGATTTCATGCTCAAAAACATATGAGACGTATCGGAATGTATCAAATATTGACAACATATATCTAAAAGTAATATATATTATGTTTATTTTAGAGTCAGTTAAGGCACTATCAATCATTTGAGGACCATAAAACGCCCAAAAATGGCTAAAAATAGGGTTTTTCGCATTTTTGAGTACGGCCCACCATTCCGAAAAATCTGAAAAAATTCTAATACATGTAGAACACTAAAATATACAATTTTCTAGAGTAATTAGACCTGCAACTATCAAAGAAATTAGAAAAAAATTGATTCAAATATTTATTTAATTTTTTTAGGTTATATATTCAATGCGCCTAAAGCTAAAAAAAATTGTGTGTTAAGTACTTTTTATAACTTATATTCTCAAATTTGTTCAAAATTTTTAACATGAAGGAACCAGAGAAAAAAATAATTTTTGAAAAAAGCGGTTTTTTGGTGCCACTAGGAAAAGGAGGGGGGATGGATAGTCGGAAAAATCGTAGAAAATTCTTTTTTTAGTGTACTTATGCAGATCCAAAGTCATTTTTCCGTTTCATTGACAGTGGCATTTTGCCTATCTTACCGATGGGGTACCCTTTTGGCCGGACACAAATAAACCCGTATATGGACAGGGGCTGAGGGTTAATCCTCTTTTAATAATTCTGCATGCAATATATATGCGGTGTAATAGCGATCATCGGTATTTCTGCCCGCACGACATAAACCTGCAATTAAACGCCCAAGTATATAGGATATATAATATTATTAATATTATATATATTTAACTGCACCAAACAGCACGCATGTCAAAAGACATCGTAAAAACATCTTTAAGATGTTTTTAGACATGGTACGTATGTCTAAAACGTGTCTTAAAGATGTCTTTTTATATAGATATGTATGTGCTGTCGGGAAAATTCATAATGAGTTGAAACTTATGATATCCAGTGATGAATAAATCGTGATAACATCATCATAATGTCATTATGAATTTTATGTTTTACCTAGGCAAGATTCGTGCTCGAAAGAAAATGTCGGTAGATACGACGATCTTCCCCACAGGTACGACGGTAACGTTCATATTTCGATCGCATTATTTTGCGCGCCATTTATTTCCACGGGACTGGTCGCAGGGCGTTAGCACTTCCTCGCGAACTTCACCATGACGACGGCAACGCCAGGTCGGCAATGCCAGGTCGCATTGATCCCCTTTAGTAAGTACGGTAACGGCCATCAACAAAGTAACCAACGCCGTTTGCATCCCGTTTCTGGGACTCGGATCTCGGAGCAATAAACCTCCGCTACGGAGTCGACCTGGAATCATATTCGGCTGATCGCTCGGATGAAGGTGATTTATAGTAACGACCAGGATAGCTGCACAAATCTGTCGAGAACATATTTTGAAAGTGTCTATATACTACAAGTTTTGTCGATAGAATGTCAATATAATAGAAATATATAATATAGAATTCTGTTATTAACAGGATATAATGGCTGATTGACTGCAGAAACTGAATCCAGAATCTGTCGTTTATAACATTTAATTTGTATTTCACTTAAATGATGTTTACGAAATGGCAAATTTTGTTCGGTTTCTGCCAATAATTTGCTGTTAGATAATGTCAGATTCTGCTGGTATAAAACACGAGTTTAATATGCAGATATATGGCAAATCTGCTGCCATGCAATCTGTTGTCATATCTGCGGGCAGTTTATTGCTTATTGCATGCAAGGAGGAAGCCCTATGAAGAATCCGATAGAAAAACTTCTAAGAATTCGGTAGACCTTCGAAATGGACTTGGGAAAGTGTCTTTTAATTTTGACGATTAGAACATAATATGTTTGCGAAAGATACATTTGTAGGTAAAGCTTAAATACACATTAATTATGCTATCCTAAATGCTCCGTAATTTTAGGGCCTTTGACTAGCAAGACCTGCAGTGATTGATCTAGAGATGTGGTCTTTTGATAATTAGAAAAGTCAGTAGAATTTATGTTCCTCTCTTACAGTTTAACGTTTGCTATCTCTGGTAATAGTAATTTTTAGATATCCTGTACATCTGCGGCATGTCTTACGTACTAATTATAATCTTATACTGTAATTATATACATATATATAGGTAGCAGTTGTAAAATTGTATTGTATAATTTGATTACGTTATATGATCCTATCTTTGATAATATTTACATGTCATTTACAGGTTTTAAATAGCTTTCCAGTCTATTTAATTAATAATTATTTTTTATCAATTAAATGCCGAAAAGGATAGATGAATATATTAGCAGTTACGCAAAATATCTATTGTAGATTGTAGCTGATGTATCTTTTTATTTATCAATGAATATTATGCGTACTTTAGCAACAAATTTATTAATACTTAAAAGCATATTTATTCTATCACAAATTATTTATATGTTACATTATCTGCACGCATTACATCATATTTCGTAATAAATCAGAGTGAACCATGACGGAGCACAGAGGCACATCTTTCTTCCATTCGTGCGTGAAGATGCCGGTGGATCCTTGTAGCCAGCAACCAACCCCTTCTTACGAACGTCCTCGACTGTCGTCCGGGAGCCAAAGATCAGAGAAGGTGAAGAAAATCAACTTTGCCGAAGGCGAAACCGTCGAAAACTCGGAGTCGTCAAGTCCACGCGACACCCTGGAGAACTTTCTGGAATTTCTGAAGAGCATACCTGATTACGGGCAGGTGCACCATTTGTCGAACGAGCAGTTTAAGCAGAAGGTCGAGTACCTGAGAAGGAAACAGCGGCTGCTTCTGCAAAATCTGAGGAACTCACTGGATGACGCGGAGGAGCAGCCGTTGAGTTTGTCGATCGCGAGAAACGAGAGCTCGAAGTCAAAGAACGTCAAGCCGAACGTTCTCGTCGACGATCTCAAGCTGAACGGCAAGAAGTGTTACCTCGAGGAATCTAGAACTAGCAGTCCGATTTTGTTCCCATCCGGCAGTTTCGCCAGTCTCGCCGAGGATCAAGATCTGCTAACGTACAGGTAATATATTCTCAGATAAGACCTGTCGAAACCAGATCTTGTCAAATATCTGCTACAAATTTTGTCGGCAGAAAGATTATAAATTTATTGATGCCAGTTCTGATATATTACATGATGTCGGCAGAAGAACGCCAATAGAAGTTATAACAGAAGCTTCTAAAACATAATCCGACAGCAGATTGGCAGCAGAAATCGAGCAGAGATTCTACTAGAACCGTTCAGGCTTTGCGCGGTTTCTGCCGTCAATTCTGCTGTCTGATATATTTTAGCAAATTCTGCCGGCAGAACATTAGCTGAATACGGACGCAGTTGATGTCAGTTTGCTGACATATCTGTTACTAATCTGTCGACAGACAGCCATGTATCATTTTGATTACTTTAATTAATTATCAGACGATAATAGAGGAAGAGATCAGGCAGCTGATGAGAAAGAATCTTTCAATTTACAAATACAGTGAAGAAATGATATATAATTATATCTGTCTTTTGCCATCTCTCGCTGCTATTTACGCTTCAATGTTGATTCCAGATGCAGAGACAAAGACAAAGAGACGAAGACAATACGCAATAAGGAGATCCTCGCGGCCAATAAGAGTTGGAGCACGTGGAGTGAGTCGAAGAGCGATGACAGCGTGAACAGCGATGGTGAAGACAGCATTGAAACAAAGAGTTTACCGCCGAATAGCTCGAAAGAGTGGCATCCCACGGTGCCTAAGCCATTTAGTTTCACGCTGAGGTAAACATCCGAACCGCGAAGTTTCTTGCGTGCGTTTAAAAATAACTGCTTATATAATGGATGCGTCTTTCTTTATGTATTAGTTTTCTTTTTAGCATAAAAATGTGTTATAAGTTTCTATTATTAATCTAATCTTTACAAACATTCAGCCAGCATTTCTTTTATCGGATGCAAATCAACTTTATTAATAAAGGATTAAATTATTTTTTTTCCTTTTAGCTTCATAAAATGTCTTGAAATATCTTTATGCTTTTATGCTATAATACATTGCATATATATTTTTTTCTGTAGAATGTTACATATCCTGTTTTAGAGAAGAAGCAGAAAAATATATGACAGAGATGGAAACAGTCGAGTGTGCAAATGAGGATAATGGAAAGAAGAGTCCCTCGAAAAAACGACGAGTTAGACCGATTCCTATCACGTCCAAGATACCGCTCTACGATAAACTGATGGCCGAGAAAGAGGAAAGGTCGGCCACGTAATGCTTTTGTATTTATAGATAGATGCGTAACACTATATATTTTTTAATTTCCCGGATTTAATATCGCATCTCCAATTCTGAAAGTTAAACTATATTTTTATATATTATTTAATTTTCCTTATTTTAATTTTTAAGCAATTAAGTCAAATCTAATTATTTAGAGATTTACGAAATTGTAATTAATATTTCAATGTGATGTGCGTTTTTAATTTCCAGAAGTCGCATTGTGCGCGAGGAGAGCGCGCTGAACCTGCTGTCGCAGATACGGCCGTTTAAGCTGGAGTGCGACCGCCGTGCCTGGCGATCCATGGCGAGGTCCAGTCCTGAGCTTTGCTCGAGCAAGAGCGGCTCTTCGCGTTTCAAGGCTAAACCGGTGCCGAGAAACCTGTTCGGCACCGAGGTTTACGACCGTATGCTCGAGGACGAATACTATAGGTCAGCCTCTCGCTATTAAAATTGTTTCATCCTGTGCACATTTTATTTTAGAAAAAAATTTAAATAAACATTTGTATACGCGTTTAATATATTTATATCATATCTTGCTCTTTTCTTTCTTGGTGACAATGAAGACGGCAAAATCGCACTGTTGTTCATATCGAATGTCCGGAAAATACTGATATTTCTCTCGGTTAAACACTGTCAACTGTCTTTGAATTGCAAATGGATAAAAATTTTGGGGAATTAAATCTTATTGTTAGTTTAATTATCTTGTAGCTCATTCTGTATATGTGTAAAGGTTTATATATATGAGCAACTAAAATTGCCTTGCAATTCGGAAAGATGAGTTCGATTATTAGAACCTGAAGGCACTTAGGTGATTTAACAAGATTACCTAAAGACTTTACGAAATCGAGAATTAAATAAACCAATTAGATTCAGCGTAAGGATTTACGCGCGCGGTTTCAGGCAGCTAAGGAAAAGGGTGAGGGCCGCCGAGTTGCTGAAGTCCTCTTCCTTACCGCCGTCGATGGCGAGGCGTGAGCGTGTCAAGTCCGCGTGTGCACATTTGCAGGATGTGGAGGCCAACAAGGATGAGAACGAGTCTGTCATTCCGGCAATAACGTCTGAGAGAACCAGGTCCGCAATGACATCCATATTGTCCTCGCGCGGAAACAATCTGGCCGCGATTCTGAGATGTCAGGCTTCACGGTACGGCCTAATAATTTATCCATTCCCAAAAGATTGATTTTAGGAATTCAACCAAGGAAACAAATTATTTTCAGACATAAAAATCGATTATGAACAATATTTGTTTTTTATAAATCATTATAATTTCATGAATTAAAAGAAAATAAATAAATAAAAGAATATTAATAAAAGAAGAAAATAAATAAAAGAATATTATTCTTTGGGGCCAATTACTTTTATTTTCACAGAATACCAATTTAAGATTTAATTTTTTCTAAACACAACAAATTCTCCCTAAAGCCTTAATTAGAAATAAATTCACATGCGTAACAATAAAAAAACTCATTGCAGAGAGAAACTGGAGCGCGAGATACGGGAGCGGATGGAGGAGAAGCGACGGGAACAGATATTAAAGTTCAGGGAGACACTGATTGGTCGGAAACCTGCGTGGAAGGCCTTGAGATCGGCCGCGAGGTACGCACTGGAACTGTAAATCTAAACGTTCGTCGATTTTCACGATCGGATATTGATCTAATGTCGTGAAAACAAGGCACGAGCACGATAGAGACCTGGACATGCGGACGTCCCTTCGTCGCGACGAGGCACGGGAACAGGCCGAACGTCATCGATTGCAGATGGAAATGATGCTGGACCGCGTGACGCAAATACCGACCCTCTTTGAGCGGCATTCTCAGGTACTGTGAGTTCCTTGTTCCTTGTTATTTGCGTGCATTGAGACATAAGACGTCATTAAGATGTCTTTTTGTCGTCATTTCATAAGACGTCTAAAGGATGTCTTAAAGATGTCTTTAAGACGTCATATGTCCCAATTTTGGATATACGTGCTGTCTGGGAAGTAAACGTATTTTAATATATTATTTGTGCATTTTACGCATTAACATATAAAGTGGATAAAATTAAGATATTGTAAATTTTTTAGAATATGTTCTAATCTAAGAAAGTATCGTATAAACTACGCTTTATACATGAACTTTGCAGAGCTTTCAATCGCTCGTGAAGGCGCAACAGAAGGCTTCTCCGAAAAGCGCTCATGCCCGAAAGAAGAAGAAGAAAAAGAAGAAACAGCAGCAATCAAAAAGGTCCACGTCAAGTAGCTTGGATTCGTATCTGAGCTTTGCTAGCAACTCTAGACCGAATTCTGGATCATTAACCAGTTCGTCCGGTACTCCGATCTCAAGCCAATCATCGTCGAAGTCGTCGGGTGATTTCTCCGATAAATCCGCGGCCAAGTCGGAGACCTCGACGTTGAAGAGGAAGGCCGATCGCGGGCCACTGAAGGTGTCGATCAACGAGACGGCGGAACTGATTGAGGATCGTAACGAGAAATTGTCCAGTAGCGACGAACGATCTCGCAGTGATAACGTCACTGCCGAAGAATGAATTGAACCAATAATTCTAATTATCGTGAAATATTATTCTGAATGTCAGGTTCCTACGTTTGACTAATTATGATTAGATATTACGACAATTAGCTAAGCTTTGATTAGCTAACCAAGACGCAGTTTGAAAATATCTGAAGAAAAAGTTTTTTATCTATTCAACTTTTATAATTACTATTTATATATTAAACTGCATTTTATATCTTTACTACTTTCATATATATATAATTATTTATAATAAGGGTATAAGTCTAGCTAAGTTTCTGATATGTTGATACTTGTCGAGAAAGAACGGTTCTGAATTCTGAGTTAATCGAAGAATTATACGAAATCAAAGCGATTGCGATATATTCCGGGAAGTCCAGTGTCATCGCGACTGACACAAATACGTCTTGTAGAACTTAGGGAACAAACATCTTTTTTTTTATAAAAAAAATCGTATATTATCGATATATTATAAAGAGTAAAAATAACATGATATGTTAACATGATATAAATTATAATCACGCATCGGTTTAGCACAAATATCCATTAGCAAGTAGAAAACATCCGTTTCTCTCTCTCTCTCTCTCTCTCTCTCTCTCTCTCTTTCTCTCTTTCTCTCTCTCTCTCACACTTTTTTTCTTTTCATCAAAGATGTTATGTGTTACATGCAATAAAGTAGCATAATCAAATTTAACTTACGTTACAATCCCGAAAGATCTCCGTCTAATGGAATAAAGTTGTACCGGCAGTAAGATATTTTATTCTAATAAAAGGATAACTTTAAAGTTAATAATAATTATTTTTATAAATTAAAAACACGCACCAACGGTATTCACTTGCGGATCCACTTTTCTAGACGCATAAATCACCTATTTCCACAAGAATTGCAAATATATTCATTTTCTGCCACTGCAATTTTACTTGTCCTGCCGATATTTCGAATTTCAATTTTATCTGTCTCTCGAATGCCTCGCGAAATTTATGTTCTCATTCTCATCTCGCGATCGATTACCGCGTTTGCGTCACTATACCTCAAACACGTAGATTAGAAGTATTGTGAAAGACTTGTGTTCCGCAACGTTTCAGTCGCACTTTAATCTGTCATCGTGTTAAGAATCCAGTCCATGTAGTAAGCGACTTTGGTGTAGACTCCGGGGAAGCCCTCGGTGCCGCACTGTTTCAGTCCGTAGCTGACCACGCCGTATTGGATGATGCGCACTGATCTGCCGTTGTATATACCACCCGCTTGAAGAGGTCCACCGCTGTCGCCTAAGCAGGAGTCCACGTTCATCTGGCCGCCGGCACACAACTGCTTGTACCAAATCTGCGTGGTCCGTTTGTATATTTCTTTACACTGGTCATTGTTCATCAGCGGCAATTTCGCCTGCAGGAGGTCCTGACTGCGCGGACCCAATTCCGTCGCGCCCCAGCCGGTCACTACAGCCTGTCAATCAGAAGAGAAATTTTGAAATAAAAGTGAATCAATCTTTATAAAAATCGAGAGATAAATCTTTGAATATCAAAACGAAATTTTTTAGAAACGATTAGAGAATTCTTGGAAAACTTTGATGGATTATAGAATCGAAGAGACATATGGTTGTGAAATATTCTAATTTAAGAGAGAGAAAGAGAGAGAATATATAAGAAATGTTATTTAAATATTGCTTTGTTTAGTTATTGTCAAATTAGTAGTAGTAGATTTGAATACTTTGAAATAAAATAAATGTAACTCTCGCAAATCTGCTCGGCTACTTCTTCCGCTATTACTTCCTGACGGGAAGAATTGAATGGAAAGAATGTATATTGATTATTTTCTCACCGTTTTATGATTTAGTATCGCCGCAGTACCAAAGGGCAGACAAATAGGCTTGGCATTCCGAGGTCTGAAGTCTACAGAATCGTTCAATCTGATAAGCGCGATGTCATTTTGCAGCCTCGTTCTCGTGTAATCCGGATGGAAGTGAACGCTATCCACGCCGAAATCCTGATACTGCTCGGCACAAAAGACCTCTTGCCCATTGTTATCTCTCTCGCAATCACGTTCCTTGTTTATGTCGTGATCTCCTATTCTGACGCCTATTAATCTGAGACCTGGAGAACAACGATTCGGATTACACAAATTTATACCAATTACAAGAAACAATTAATAACCTCCTTTGAGAACAACGTTTCTCAAATATCTTTCAAACTTTATTTTTTTATCCTTGATTCCTTTTTTATATTTAAACCAATTTTTGTTATGTTTATGGCTATATAAGTTTTTCTTACCCGCTGGAAGTGTCGTGACGCAATGAGCAGCGGTGAGGATGTAACGCGAGGAGATGACTGTGCCGCCGCAACGGAATTCCGGATTCGGTCTTCCGGTGTCGTATGCGATTAACGCCATCCATGGATACTGGAAGATTCCAGTTTTGTTGCCGCCGACCACCTTCTGCTGGTTGATAGGCCCGCACGCTACATGATCCAACAGACGTAGTTTCGGGTGATTTGTTACATCTGGTGGACCTGGATCAGTGTCTGGGACTGTCGTTGTCGTTGTCGACGTCGTCGTTGTTGTTGCCTATTGCCAAAAAGTAATATTTAATATGAGACAAAATGAAAAAACAACACTTGAATTTAATTTTTACGAAGAAGCGAAAATTCAACTATCTTACAATTACAAACAATTTATAAGGAAATTTTATTATGTTTTACAAATGTAAAAGTAACATGCACCCTAATACGCATAATATTGTCCAATTATTACAAACGCGCGTCCACGAAGTGAAAAATCCTTAAAAATGGGAGAATTGTGCGTAGAAATATTTTTATTGCTTTGTTCAGAAAATATATATCCTTAAGATTAAAATAAGACAGCTTTGATTGCAAAAAAATCTCTGATTTTATCGTTACGCGCGGTATAATAAAAATTTGAACAAATTTCAAATTTTCACGAATAATAAAGCTCTAACTCGATGTCCTGCTAATACAACGAGATCGGGATAAAACGGAAACTCGAGGTCACAGAAACCTGTTTCAGCATTATTTCAGAAGACGATTAAACGGTTCGCAGCGACGACGCATCCTTATGACGTACACGAATGACGACAGCATGCGATATGTATATGTATATTAATGTGATATATCACGTGGAAATGATAAAGTCATCCGAAACGCATTAATCTTGATGTCCTTGATGAGAACCAATCAATCTGACAATAAATAATCTTTTAACATTTCAAAAATTTATTTACAAAACTAGCAATGAATTGGAAACAAATAGAGGAATAAAATCATTAATACAAAGTTGCTACAATAATTTAGTCGCGAAAAAAATGTGTTTTTTAAGCATTATAATTCCTAATTAGAATCTCTCTTTGCTTTCTAGTTTATTCTGTTTACTTTTTAATTAAATTAGCTCTAAATAAAATTAAATTAAATTCTTTCTCTTGAATTAGAGATTGTGGATTATATTACGTACGTTAATTAACTTTACTTTGTTACTTTATTTGCTTTCAATAAATTAGTTGGTTCTAAGTTAATATTTTTATCAATAAATTAATGTCTAGATCAAGTTCAATTACCTGGTTGCAGCAAACCTTCGGGTCACTGCCCTCGAAGCCACATTGTGAGTTTCTAAGAGTTCGCAACGCCTCTGCCGAAAGTGGTCTTGGACCTCTCAGAATTGCTATAATCTCTGGACAATTGCGAATGTTAATGCAATCAGCACTTCCATCCGAGCACCTATTCTCTGTAACAGTAAATCATTGTTTAATTTACTCAATCAATATTTTCAAGTAGCAATTTTCTAAGGACAAAATTAACACTTTATCGAAGTTTAGAATAAATCCGGTTTAGAATGAATCGCATGACCAATTTTCACATGTACTTATGTAGAAATAATTTGGATTGTCTCAAATGGAACATTCATCTGGAAAAGCATATCGACATAAATACAAACGTATGATAAAAAGTCTTATGGATGCATTAAATTTTTAATATGTCAATTAATTGTGTCAAATGTAATTCTTACGATTTAAAATAAAAGCATGAATTTTTAAAAAATTTGATCAAGCAAGGATTCGTTGTTAGAACTGACGTCTTTTTCAAATGGAAATGCTCATGCAACGAAAAACTGATGTTAGAATTGACGTCTATAATGAACCACTCACGTGCATCGATTGTTGATAGAGCGAAGAAAAGGACGAGCGTCCCGATGAACATCATGTTTATTTGTGGTATCAGCATACAACTCTTCGTCAATCAATCTCGGAATTACTTTCTGGCTATTCTTCTTTCCCTCTTCTCTCTTCTCTCCCTCACGGATCAGTGCGAGCCGGGGATTTTCCTATTTCGCTCCGATGGTTCTTACCGATTAACGCGCTTCGGTCAGAGAGCTCGCACTCCGTTGAGGAATGCGATAAATCCCACTCGCAATTCGCGTCGGTCTCTCGTGACAAGTCCGCACTCAATCCGAGGTGTATCACGGGTCAGACCAAAACCGGTACTAATCGGCTGCCCGTGAGTCGCCAATCGACTAAGCTCCTTCACCACTTGCTGAGCCTATTAAATCTGTTAATTTGGTGGGGACAATCGTCAATAATGATCCATCGGTTGCCGTGATTCGTTGCCGATTAAAGCTGAATCTGGCGATTCGTGCCTTGCGGAAATGCGCGAATTTTTATCGTTAAGAATTCGTTATGACGCAAATTAATAGTTCCAGGAATGTTGATATTGATGTTGTTTACGTACAACCGATTCACAGAAATAATGTTATATCTATGTCTGTATATGGTGGATTTTTCTATTGAATTTACGCCTCCGATAAATTTAGAATCGATCTGCAATTGAAAGATTTTTATTTTGCACGTTGTACGTTGTACATTATATTATTCTGTCACCTGTTTTCTTAAAAATTTGATTTTCAATTTATTTAAAACTTTCAGTGTTTAACATTTTATTAATTACATTTTAAAAGTTTATAGATAGATCTTTCTCTTACTTTATCATTTGCGTTTGAAGAATTATGCAATAAACTTTAAATACTGGCGACACTGCACATGCATATGTTTCTCTATAAACAATTTCAAGAATCATTTCATGTTATTTCACAATTCAGTTCTGAAATCATGAAAGCTAGATAAACATATATTTACTACTCTTGCTAAATTAATTTTAATTAACGGCGTAATTTTTTGAAAGAATCATATTTGTTCAGTAAAATAAAAATATAAAAAAATGACAAAATCAATTTTCTTCTAGAAAGGAAATTAATGTCGTCTATAAATAAAATTAAAATAAAGGCAAAGTGAAGTAGCAGGAATTTTTCCTGAAAGATATACGTAGAGATGAGATATGAGGAATGAGAGGGTAAAATAAAAGGGAAAGAGGCAGAGAAAAAATCGGTTGGATATTGGAATAATTAAAGCTTATTCTCGTTCGAAAAAACTCCAAAAAGTCTCGCAAAAAAAATCGATCAAAAATAAACGCATGACTTTTGTAATCACCGGGAGTTTCTCGAGATAACATTACTGCACGATTGAGCTCATGCAGGAGTGTTGTCCTGTTAAAACGTGCAACTATTGAGCATCGTCTACAATACACGGAGTAACCGTGGAGTAAGGAGTAAGAGTAGGCGTAAGAGGGCTATTTTCGGTTTAAGAGAGCTGGCGTAAGGACGTAAGCGAAATAAATTAATTTTATTTCTCAGGAATAGAATAAATCTTCTTTTCTCAATAAACGCTGAAGATGGGTCAAAAGAAGAGCCGAAACGTTTGTCACTTTTAAATACACGTTTTTGTTTTATTTGCGCACCACGTTCCGCGCCTGACTCACATTCGCCGTTAAATCTCTGACACTTTCACGAGTCTAATTATATTATTGTTTATTTCTTACTCCTACTCTTATTCTTACACTTAACGCTCGGCCAATCAGGACGCAACAGGCTATATGCTTACTCCTGCCTACTCTTACTCCTTACTCCACGCTTACTCCGTGTATTGTAGACAACACTTTAGTCATCGTTGACAGATGAGGAAAGTTACGACAAAATATCAGCACTTTCCTCTAAACCTACTACCGTTACCAAGGACGTCGCCCATTGCGTATCTCTTTACATATTTGTTATTCAACTCAGCAGAATCTTTAAACGTATCGTCATGATCCATGACCGCAACAAAATGCGAAGATTCGTTTAGGAAGTTCTTCGTAATATTGAAAAAGCATTTATTACTGTAAGGCGATTAGTACAATCAATGAGTTAATGATTAATTGGCACATGATTAGGTAATAATAATTAATTGACCACTGAGTTTTTGAGAATTACTCTTTTGTAAAGCTTGAGAAAAAAATTTTTGATAGTTTGTTGACTTATTTCTCAAAATAATATGAAAATTTTAAGGGAGTATTTTTGTCTAGAACGCTGTTTTTGGAGGTAATTTTTAAAATAAAATAAATTTAAAACTATTTGAGTTTTTTTTCAGAAATTTTTTACACATACTTATTATGTTGCTTTAAAAACATATGTAAATTTTGTTGGAAAAAAAGATATTTAATATGAGATTTTGTACGCTTAAGCACAATGGTGCGCCCTTGATTGGCAACCAGTGCTGCGGATGTTGTATGTATCTGAAAAAAACATATTCTTAATCTGTATGAGTGTTGTAAGGGTTGGTACCAGAATTAAGTTAAAATAATTTTTTTCTTATTTTTATAACTCGCTGAAGAGGAAAAACGTAAGAAAAATTGACAATTAACATTTAACATGTCGTTATTTTGTAAAAAAATTTTTTCTGGCCAAATCTGGTACCAATCCTTACAACACTCACATTATAGATGAAGAATATGTTCGGTTTTTTTTTCAGATACATACAACGTCCGCAACTCTGGTCGCCAATCAAAAGTGCACCATTGTGCCCGGGCGTACAAAACCATATGTTAAATTACTTTTTTTTTTAAACAAAATTTATACATGTTTTTAAAGCAATAATAAATACATGTAAAAAATTTCAGAAAAAAACTCGAACAGTTTTAAATTTATTCTATTCTAAAAATTACCTCCAAAAACAGTACTTTAGACGAGAATAGAAATCTTCTATTCTTCCTCTTAAATTTTCTAGCACATTCGTCTTTGAATACGTGCTTTTTGAAGTTGTTTGGCGTAGAAGCGTAGACCATTGTAATGTGTGATGATACAACGGCGATAGGTCGAATTCCACAGTGACCCTCGCGCGTTGATAACTCCGAGGGCAAATAAAAATGGCTAATATCGAACGACATAATCATCGGTCACATAATTTTGCAATCCAACAATTTGCGATTTTATGCTACGTTATACTCAAAAGAGGATGGAATTACCAGGAAATTCGTTCATTTCTTTTTATTAGATAGATAAAAAATGTGTATAAGAAGTATTGTATATAATATTCCAATTTATCGATAAATAACACGTACATTTCTATAGAAATATAAATTTTATGTGACAGGCATCAAGGATTTGATTGCATTGATAAAGATAATCACATTATAAGAACAAGGATAATAATAAGGAAAATAACGCATAACTATAAAAAAGATAACAAACCTGAAAAGCATTATTTCAAATATAAGAAAATTATTAAAATAATATTAAGGTAATAGAAAAGAAAATAAATGAGCAGAATAGAGCGCCAAGGAAAAAAATTATTAATTTAATATATTTAAGAAAGATTTTTCATTTATTTTTATTAGTGTTATTAAAACTTGAAAAATATTTTTTTTAAAACTGTTGTTTTTACATGATAATATTCTTTAGGATATTGACTTTTCAATGATCAGCCAATATCGTAAATTTTAATTAAAATTTATTGCACTTTGATTAAAACTCGCTAAAAATATATGTAGATCCCTTACAAAAAAGTATTACTAGCTGGTTAGTAATAAATACTTATTTTGTGTATTAATAATACTAAAATTAAGTATTTATTAGTACTTGAATCACTGTGATCCAAGTATTGCATAGTATTTTATTACTGGTCAGTAATTTATGAAAGTAGTATTTAATACAGGACGAGTATTGAATACTTAGTATTAAATTTCTGATGAGAAAGCATTTAATACTAGGTGAAAAATACTTGTGTAATAAATACTTGTGTTGAATTACTGATGAGTATTTCAATGTTAGTACTGAAGTACTGAACCAAGGATTCCATGTGTAATAAATAACTGGCCAGTATTTTAATATTAATACTCAAGTACTGAACTGAATATTCCATGTAAAATTAATCACTGACCAGTACTACAATTTGTATAGAAACATTATAATGGGTAATTCCTGATAATATTAAGGAAAAGAGATAAAAGTAAGGCACAAATACATTTTATATGAAGGTCTGTACTAATTCGTCGTGATAAAAGTGTACAAGTTTTGAAATAGTACTGAGGATATCATTTTAATATTCAATTCAAAATTTTATTACTCTTTTTAAACTGAATTTGTTTCTTAAGATGATTTTTGAAAAATTATATATTTGCGCTGGTTATGATACATGTAGACTATATATAACACTTACATCAAATTAAGAAGTAGTCTACCACGTAAGGCAGTTGGCTCACGATCCAGAGGTCCCGAGTTCGATCCCACCAAGGTAAGTGTTTTTTAAATACGAGAAAATATTTATAATTATAAACTGCATCTTAAGAAACAAATTTAGTTATAAAATAGTAATAAAATTTCGAAAAAAAATAATTTTTTTTTATGCCGGGTAAATATCGGAAATCGAAATATTGGTGAGTAATTCAATACTAAGCACCAGTAGTTCTGTGTAGTATTAATCACTACCTATAATATTTGTCACTACCAGTATTTTCCCAGTATTTCCCAAATAAATATTGACAGTAATCACTGAGATTTTAAGTATTTAGTCAGTAATACTTTTTTGTAAGGGATATTACTATAAAAGTATAAAATATGTCATTATCAATGCAGATGAGACGAATGAGCAATTAATGTCACTTAACTATACATCTTTTCTTAGTATTATTGAGTATGTTTATGTCTTTCGTATATATAGGAAACACAGAGAAAAATATATTTATTATACAATGATGACAATCTCATCTTTTATCTCACATATCGCAATATTAGAAGAATATAGTCATGACTTAAAAAAAATCATGCGTGTGGTCGCCACGCGCGTTAGAAGTGAAACTTCTGAAGGCAAGGCTTTGCCATAACTTTTCTGAAATTAATACCAAAACAATGCAACGGAATTAGTCACTCCAAGCCGCCCGCAACTCGAAAATATAGTGTTATACGCAGTTCTCACTATATCCGTCTTGCCAGTGCCGTACGCCTCATCGAATTTTCGTGACGCGTTTTCGAGTCGCAAAATCGAATTTACTTACCGATCCAAAAGGAGTTTCACTTTGTACGCCTGTTGGTCGAATTTTCGTGACACTATTTCGTGACGTTTTTTCGTGTCGCACAATCGAACTTACTACCGTACCAATTAAAAAAGTTTCATTTCGTACGCCAATTGGTCGAAAATTTTTGTTACACTTTTCGTGTCGCATAATCGAACTTTACTACCGTGCCAGAAGAAGAACCATCTCGCCAACGTCGTACGCCTATTGGTCAAATTTTCGTTACACTTTTCGTGTCGCACAATCGAACTTACTACCGTACCAAAGAA